CCCCAAAACCCCAAAACCCCAAAACCCCAAGCCCATCAATTAGTTCATGAAATTAAAGAGTTATAATTATGTTTATTTGAAGATCGAAATCTATCATTATTATTTTATCTAGTTTTTTCTAATGTATTTCTATATTTATTTGCTCAGTAGTTGCCTCCTCCATAGTTTTGTCTTTATTATTTTGATAGACTTGATTAGTTTTCATCCCCATATGAGTTACCTCCTTTCTTTGAGCTTTATTACTTTTATTTTGCGCAAAGCCTGTTTAGCAAGTTAGAGTCCTCTCTAAGGTAAGGTTCAAACTTGACAATCTCAGCAAAGTTAGACTCATAAGGATTCCTGTCTTTAATTCTCTATCGAATGATGTCTATTGGTCTTTTCCCATTAGCATTGGCCGAAGATAGATCTACACAGCAATTTTCCTTTAATATCAAAATCATTTGCTTCAAATCGTCAATCTTACTAACAGAATTCTATATCAAATCTTCAGTTTTAAATAAGACAATAATTATAAATAGAAATATGCATAATGATCTAGATCAGTTCAACTTACAAAGCATAATGAGTGAATAAGATAATTGCCTTCGTCATCTTACAAGGACATAACCTCTGGGGCATTGTAAAGAATGCGATTCAGTACATCAACATGCCCGTTTTTACAGCAGAAATGCGCAGCTGATTCCTTTGTGAATTTAGTCCTATGCTAATAGTTAAGATCTTTTTCATTTAGCAATCGTTCTATTTTCATTTTGTCTATTTTCCTCTTGTCCTTTATGCACTGTATGATGATTAGAATAATAAAGATACCTCATTCAGAAAATCTTGCGAGTTATCTGGTAGCTTTCTCTGTGAGAGTATGTTTGTTACACTGTCAGTGAAGCTTTTTACCTTTGGGCCATCAGTCAACATATTTGTAGAGACTGTTCCACTAAGACCAGCATTTTACTTATGATTTTCCAATCGTTTAAAGTTCTACTGATCATCAACAGTATCAAGATGATTTCCAAAACCCGATTAATTTGATCTCTTATTCCTATAAGTTGAGTCTCCTCCTGCTTGCTGGCTATTATGTGATGATACTGATCTCTTCTTTCCATTTTATTAAACTTACTAATTTCCCATTTTAAATTCTAATTCTTTATCTACTTTACTTTACACTCATATATATTTCCATTACGGGGTTTTGGGGTTTTGGGGTTTTGGGG